TCAATGATTTTCGCTTTGTTTACATCCTCAAATGTAGCACAAAACCAGTTTTTTTGTTATGACTTTGCTACTTGAACTCCTTCATACTTCCTTCTATCGATAATGATGATTTTTGAACCAAAACTTTCCAGTAATCACTCGTAGTAAATGTGGAGCTTCGTTGCACAGTTTTTAGTTTGAATATCTTCAACTCAAAAACCAGTTTTTATCAGTTGTTTGATTCGTGAGCCTGCCGCTGCTTTTGATTGGCTAACAGACAAAATCTAGTAAAACTGGTTTTCCTTGAATTCGTGATCGACCTCTGATCGACCTTGCATCATCGACTACAAAGTAAGTGATAACTGAATCGTTGAAAATCAGCTGCAAAATGCAGCGTTTTGCAATACTTGAAAGCTACTTTAATCGTAAAATTGAATTCGTGACATTTACCAGAAGCAAAAGAAGGCCTTACCAAGCAAATTGAATGGAATACCAGTGAAATATAATMATTTGAAAAGGAAGATCTTCGTTCACCATGCATGCATAACAATGTAAACAAAGGTGTGTTTTTCTCGCAAAAATGGTTAAATACGGAATATTGTTTTAAAGATATCCTTTTTTGAATAAAAGAATTTAGTTGGGCAGTAGTGCTGCACTTCGGAAATCTACCAGTTCTTGTGAAAAACGTTTTTTAATTTAATTTAGCTTACTATCACTTAGCTTACTATTTAACCTGGAGATTTACCTTAGCATTATAGTGTTTTATATTGCACTTTTCAATTTACTCCTGCTTTTTGTGTTTTACTCAATAAATGTTCACCTTTTCATATCATTGTAGTGCATGTTTTAATATTTTAAGCTAGTGAAACCAGTACATTGATAATTGAGGATGTTTTTCCAGCATTTTCCGGTGGAATCTTAACCAGTTCATGTAAAAGTTGAAAAAGTCGTGGAAAAGTTGAAAAAGCCGTGGAARGGTCTATTTGTCACATCAATAATAGTTTATCCATATAAAAGTTTACTTTCTAAACCTTTTATTTTACAATGCTTGGTTATTCTTTTCCACCAGAGTGCTCAAAATTTTTGAGCATTGCCGTGGACAGAATGACAAGCATGACCTTCCATCAGAGTGCTCAAAATGTTTGAGCATTGCCGTGGACAGAATGACAAGCATGACCTTCCATCAGAGTGCTCAAAATGTTTGAGCATTGCCGTGGACAGAATGACAAGAAGCATGACCTTCCATCAGAGTGCTCAAAATTTTTGAGCATTGCCGTGGACAGAATGACAAGCACGACCTTCCATCAGAGTGCTAAAAATTTTTGAGCATTGCCGTGGACAGAATGACAAGCACGACCTTCCATCAGAGTGCTCAACATTTTTGAGCATTGCCGTGGACAGAATGACAAGAGGCATGACCTTCCATCAGAGTGCTCAAAATTTTTGA